TCTGAGCCATCTCTCCAGCCCTGCTTCTGCCTTTTAAGGGCTGGAAAATTGAGCCGCCACAGCCAGCTAGCATCAGAGATGTAGAAATGATTTGCCTGAGTTGGAAATAGGAAGCTGCAAGGCTGGTTATTCCGGGGTCTTACTAACAATGTCAACCAGACGTACTGGAAGAGCTGCAACCAAAGCCCAGATGGCCGAATTCCCAGACTTTCGGTCGCTTGACACCGCCCTCCGCTCAGTGGGCCGATGGACCGCGCGCCGCCCTTTCATTGGTCAGCTGTCACAAGGCCCATGCTCACACGAGGTCATTCAGCCAATCAGCGATGTCGGCCACGCCCACCCAGCTGTACAAGCTTGCATTTTTTTGCGGCCGGATCAGCGGCATGCCGGGAGTTGTAGTACTATTTTCAGGGTCTGCCTACTGAGCCGAGAGTCTGGGAACTATAAGCCCCAGAATGCTAAACGCGTACAGCGCCCGGTTTTCAGGTATCAACCGCACCACACCTTGGACCCCGGGAGAATCCGCGTTGAGAAACAGGTGAGGGATCTTGTCGGATCTGGAGCCGAGACTTGTTCCTGCCTCAGGTCTGGTGAAGCGCCGCAGGGCCAGCCTGTGCGGGAGTTCCTGTCCCTGGGTCGGTGAGCCGGACTGAGCGGCTTTCTTGCCTTCGCGAATTTCTGACTCTGCGCTGGTGTGTGCCTCGAGACCTCCTTGTGCACGCCCGCGAGTTTACCCTCCACGCCCACCTGTTGCAGAGGCCGGCTGCGGTTAGTACCAGTACAGACCACATCCCCGCAGCATCATCGGTCCCCTCGGACGGAGCCCAGGGCCTGAGCCTCCATCTTCTTCCCCTGCCCCCGGACCCCTTGGTTCTAGTTCTGGCCCTGCGTCGGCTCAGCTATCTAATAGCCCCAGAAGCTCAGTTTGGTGTGTCCATTAATAGTGTGTCTTAAAGACCTTCTATCCCCTAATTCTCGGTACTGCATCTCCGGCCCTGCGAACGCATCCTCGGAAGTAGAAAGCGTTCGGTTTTAGCCATTTCGCTTTAAGTGAAGATTTGTTGGGACTCTGGCACCCGGACATTCTTTTTATTTCCTGTGTGTCCCTTCTGTAATTCTTGAATTCAGGGTGCATCAGGGTGGGGTATTTTGGTGCAGGGGTAGAAAGCTTGGCCTGTGGGTACCTGAGGTAACGGCTACCAAGCATCTGCCTTCGGTGCTTGCAGGGAGTGCTTGGAGCCCCTCCCCCTATGCCCACCCACGATGCCCCTGTCCCGCTGGCTGAGATCTGTGGGGGTCTTCCTGCTGCCAGCCCCCTGCTGGGCACCCCGGGAGAGGTGGCTTGGTTCCCTACAACGACCCTCCCTGGCATATGGGTGTCCAGTCCTGGGGGCCTGGCACAGTGCCCGCTGGTGGTGCCAAGTGTGGACAGAGGAGCCTCGGTGAGTGTGGTTGGGGTGAGGGGCTTCGGGGAGGGAAGTGCCAGAGCAGATCTCTCATTTGTGTGTGTGTGTATGTGTGTGTGTTTTTCTCCTCAGAGCATTTTGCACCTCTCTCAGAATGAATGGGAACCAGAAATTGGATGCTTGTAACCAAGATAGGCAGGATTTCATCCAGCACTTCTCCCAGATCGTCAAGGTGCTGACGGAGGATGAGCTAGCACACCCAGAGACTGGGGATGCTATTACCCGGCTCAAGGAGGTGAGGGTTCAGTATTGAAGAAACCAGTAGTGGTGTGGATTTTGCATGGCTTTTGATAAGAGTGGAAGTAACAGTTTCTGCCTGAGTCCCTGGAGTAGGTGGGTCCCTGGGATACTTCAGCCCACTTTCCTGAGTTTCTGCTCTACAAAAGGTGGGCCATCCAAACAGCTTTGCATGAGAGGGAGCAGAGCCTTGGACCTATTGAAGTTCTGATTTTATGGCCTGAAATTTTAAGATGGGATATCTAAGAGGCCATTGTCCTGAGGCCTGAGGGAAGATACTGTATCATTAGAAAGCCCTATTCAGGCTGGAGAGACGGCTCAGAGGTTAAGAACACCTGCTCTGTCTTCCAGAGGTCAGGAGTTCAATTCCCAGTCACCCACATGGTGGCTCACAGCCATCTATAATGAGATCTGGTGCCCTCTTCTGGCGTGCAGGTGTACATGCAGACAGAACACTGTATACATAATAAATAAATCTTAAAAAAAAACCAAAAAAACCTCTCCTTTCTAGGAAAGGAATAGTTGAGTCACCTATTTCTCTCCTTTATTCTCTTGTATTTATTTATTTTTCTTAAGTCAGAGTTTTCTTTCTTGGCCTACATGGCCTCGAACTGAACTCAGATACCCCTCCCTCAGCCTCCTGTGTGCTGTATCTTTACAGTGCTGTCATGCCTCCATCTGGGACTCCTTTTGTAAATGTTGTTTGTCTTGTCTGAGGAAAACCAAGGAGGGTGTTTTCCTTGTCTATAGTGTGTCGGTATTAAAGAGATGTCTCGTTAGTTAGATCTGCTGTGTGACAGAAGGCACAGTGGGAGGCTTCAGTAGGAGGATATTGGAAGGGTCAGAAATAGCCTGAACCTTGCGGTCACCTCCACACCCTCCTTTGGCCTTTGGAGACACCTTACATTTTCTGTCCCGGACTCATTATGTATCTGAGGCTGGCCTCAAACTCCTACAGCTTACTTGCCTGCACTTGACATTATAGGATCACTCTCTGCTAGGGCCCTGTCTCCAATACAGGCTTGTTTGTGGATGGCCTAAGTTCTGGGCTTGGGCGAAGAATTGAGTATATATTATGGAGCAGGTTCTTGGGTGTCATGCCATAGGACTTTGGAGGGGAGTGATCCAGGGCCCTCCAAGGGGAGCTGGGAAGAGGAATCTCCTCAGGGCCCTGCTGTGTGGACCCTGACGTCCTCTTCCCCTGCCTGCCTCAGGTCTTGGAGTACAATGCTGTAGGAGGCAAGTACAATCGGGGTTTGACTGTGCTGCAAGCATTCCGGGAGCTGGTGGAGCCCAGGAAGCAGGACGCTGAGAGTCTTCAGCGGGCTCTGACTGTGGGCTGGTGTGTAGAACTGGTAAGAAGGGGGGGGGGGGCAGAGGCTTTCCAGAGTTGGGGTTTCTTTTTTTGTTGGTTTGTTTTTTATTAAATTTTTTATATTAATTATAGTTCATTTACTTTGTATCCCAGCTGTAGCCCCATCCCTCATTCCCTTCCAATCCCACCCTCCCTCCCTCATCTCCTCCCTGCCCCTCTCTAAGTCCACTGATAGGTCCTCCTCTCAGTTCTCCTCTCCTTCCATCTGACCCTAGCTTATCAGGTTTCTTCAGGACTGGCTGCAGTGTCCTCCTTTGTGGCCTAGCAGGGCTGATCCTCCCTTGGGGCTGGTGAGGTCAAAAAGCCAGTCACTGAGTTCATGTCAGAGACATGAGTCCCTGGAGTTGGGGTTTCCTAAGAGGAGAATGGATCTTAAGCTTGTGTCTGACTATTTTTGTCTGTGTCTCATGTGCTACAGTCAAGTTCAGGCAGTGTGGGTCACTTCAGGGACTGATGAGTGGGCACGGAAAATTTTCAGAAATTCTAAATTTAAATCTTGTCCTGTGGTGGTAGCCCAACAGGGGCCAAGGCAGGAAGATCCCTGAGTTTGAGGCCAGCCTGGTCTAGAGAGTGAGTTCCAGGACAGCCAGGGCTGCACAGAGAAACCTTGTCTCAAATAACAACAACTTAAATCTCGTAAACTTAACAAAGAAAACATTTCATTAAAAAAAAAAATAGTAAAGTGGCTGGAGAGATGGCTCAGAGGTTAAGAACACTGGCTGCTCTTCCAAAGTCCTGAATTCAATTCCCAGCAACCACATGGTGGCTCACAACCATCTATAAGGAGATCTGGTGCCCTCTTGTGGCCTACAGGCATGCACACAGGCAGAATATTGTATAAGTAAATCTTTAAAAGAGTAAAGTAAATAAAAAGGTTTTCCAAGGCTGGTGAGATGGCTTGGTGGGGCAGAGCATTTGCTGCACAAACAGAAGAGCCAAGTGTGGATCCCAGCACCACATGAAAATCAACTGTGGCTGTAAACATGTAATCCCAGTGCACTGTAGGAGAGTCAGGAAATGGGCTGGGGCTTCCAGGCTTAGAGAGAGATCTGTTTCAAAGGAAAGTGGTGAAGTCAAGCACCTGGCATCTTCCTTTGGTTTCTCCTGTCATATGCTCATGCCCACACAAAATGCACACACAAGTCTCGTGTGACGCACGCCTGTGCTGTTAGTGCTGGGCTGCAGAGACAGGCAGATCCCCAGAGCCTCTGGCCAGGCTAGTGTAGCTAGTCAGTCAGTTCCAGGCTCAGGGAAGGGGGTTTTGTCTTTAAAACATGAGATGGGATGGTGTCTGGAAAGCTGTCTCAGCGTTTAAGAGTACTGTCTGCTCTTCTGGGGTCCTGGTTTGCCTCCCATCAACCACAATGGTGGCCCACAACAATGGGCTCTGATGCCCTCTTCTGGCAGACAGGTGTACGTGCAGATAAGCACTCATACGTAAAAATTAAAAAAGGGTGGGGAATGTGGAAGACAGCTGACATTGTCCTCTTGCCTCCGTGTGTGCACAGCACAAACACATAGCTCATGTACACACACAGGTTTCTGAGAGTGGGAGCGATGGCTCCGTCAGAAAGGCTGGGCACCAGGAGCACTTGGCTTGGTTCTCACTCATACACAGTCATGCAGTCTGTCATCCCCTTACTGGGATGGGTGCTGTGCAGCTCCCTGGAGCTTGCTGGCCAGCCTGTCCAGCACAGTTGCCATGACAGACCCTATCTCTTGAAGGTGGGAGGGCTGGTGAGGTGGCTTGGTGGTTAGGAGCGCTGGCTGCTTCTCCAGAGGACCTGGGTTCAATCTTTAGAACGCAATTGGTGCCTCGTGACTATCTATAATGCCAGACCTAGGGGATCTGACACCCTCTTCTGGCCACGTGGTTCACAGGCATACGTGCAGACAGAACACCAGAATGTATAAAATAAATAGTGCTTGCTTTGGCAGCACATATATTGAAATTGGAACAAGACAGAGAATATCAGAATGAGCCCTATCAAGGATGACACACAAATTTATGAAGCATCCCATATTTTTTCCTAACTGACATTTGTCAAGTGTGTAAAAAAAAAAAAATACATAGATTGGTCCCAAGCCCCCCCAAAAACAACATACAAAACTTGAAAAATGAGGAAGACATCTCAACCCCCTCAAATGAGGAAGATGTTCAGTGTTGACCTCTGGCCTCTATGTGAATGCATATACTTACACAAACATGTACATACCCTATAAAAACACATGCACACGCTTGGACAAATGTGTGCACGACATGCACTTGTCACACATGCATACATTAAACATGCATGCACACCACATGCACACACTTGGACAAACATGTGGTACAACACATAACAAACATGTACACTCTGTACATACATAACAGCCCAGGATTTGGCAGTATGCTCACTTAGATTTTCTGGTGCCAAGTGAAAGCCGCTTGTCTAAGTTGGGGTACATGCTCTCATGCATGGCTTCTGTCCCAGCATCTTTTTGTCTTATGTGGTTAGCTTTTCTGGCTCTTGAATGTCTGTGGCTTTTTTGGGGGGGGGGAGCTTGGGGCTGTGATGCCCAGGGCCTTGTTTATGCCCAGTACCCTCTGATCCCTGGACTACATCCCTTTGGTTTTTTGTTTTGTTTGTTTTGTTGGATTTTGGCTTTTAGAGACAACCTAGTGAGGCTCTCTCTCAAGGAAACCAAACCAGAAGGCGTAATGGGTGTTATTGGATGTTCCATTCTTCCATCTCCTTAATGGAGAGCTTTTGGGAAGCACCGCTCTGAGGTGGGTGAGGCTCTGGGGAGATACAGAGGGGCAGCCCATCCTGTATGTCCCATGAGCCTTTGCTGAGACTGAAGAACATAGAAAACTGGATGTAGTTCAGGTTGAAGAGTGCTGCCTTAGGTGCATGAAGTCTTGGGCAAATGCCCAGCTGGGCATAGAGCCAGGTGTGGCAGCCCATGGCTGTGACCTCAGCACCTGAGTAGTAGGAGGAAGGGCAGAATTGCTAGGTCCTTCTTGGCCATGTAAGGAGCTTACCTATCTAAAGAAGAAGCCATTGCTTAGCCTGTAGCACATTGCTGGGGTGGAGGGTCCCTGTCTGACACTCATCCGCAGCCTCTTCTTGCAGAAGAGAGTGGAAGTGAGGGCTGTGGGCCTCTTGCTGGATTTGCATGCTCTGCCTTAGGACAGAGAGGCCTTTTTCAATAGATGCTTTTAAACTTCTTTAAATTAGTAGTTTACTTATTACTTATTTATTTTGTTTTTTTTGAGACAAGAGTTTCTCTGAGTAGCCCTGTCTGTCCTGAAACTTGATCTGTAGGTCAGGCTGGCCTGGAACTCCAAGATCTCCTGGCCTCTCCATCCTGAGTGCTGGGATTAAAGGCTTATACCACCACTGCCTGGCTAAAAATTTACTTTTTATGATTAGAAAATGTTATGTGTGTGGGTGCTTTGCCTGTGAGTATATGTAACGGGTGTATGCAGCTCCCAACGTGCCAGTAGAGGGCGTTGGATCTCCAGGAACTGGAGTTATATATGGTTGTGAGCGGTCATATGTGTGCTGGGTCCTCTGCAGGAGCAGCCAGTGCTCTGAACCACTGAGCCATAAACACCTTTACCAAAAGCAACTTAGGAAGGAAAGGTTTGGTTTCATCTACACTTCCAGATCAGTCCGTCCCTGAGAGAATCAGTGCAGATGCCAGGAGGAATGATGCAAACTCTTCTTCTCCATAGCTGCTTAGCCTGCTCTTTTATACACCCAGAACCACCTGGCAGAGCTGGTACTGCCCACGGTGATAATGCCACACACTCTTGCCACAGGCCAGTCTGGTAAGGGCATTTTTTTCAGTTGAGGTTTCCTCCTGCCAAATGACTATACGTTGTGCCAAGTTGACCTCAAACTAGCCCACATGGTCACTCACTGGAACAGAAACTCTGAGATGTTTTGGTCCAGAGTGCAGTATGTAAAGGTAGTCCGTGCTCTTCCTGCTGCTGGGGGGTCTCAGAACCGATCAGAGATGGCAGAGGTCCATTACCTGAAGATAAGGGGCATTAGTGCCACTTTACAGATGAGGAAATCTGGGAGCAGGGGCCCCCACTAACCGCCCATGCAGCGCACAGCGGTGGCAGAGCGGCAGCTGTCACTGAGAGAAAGCCCTTATGGAGCCCTGGGCATCTTATTGCACTCCTTCTAGCTCCAGGCTTTCTTCCTCGTGTCAGATGACATCATGGATTCTTCGCTCACTCGCCGGGGGCAGATCTGCTGGTATCAGAAGGTAAGTTAAACAGGAGGTTAGCAGTGGTCCTGGTAGACAGGCCACAGGGAGGTGATTGGGGTGCCAGGTGTGATGGTTTGAATATGGCCAAAGGTAAGTGCGGCTTCACTTTGTTCCTCACAGCCAGGTATAGGCTTGGATGCCATCAACGACGCTCTGCTTCTGGAAGCCTGCATCTACCGCCTGCTGAAGTTCTACTGCAGGGAGCAGCCCTACTACCTGAATCTGCTGGAGCTCTTTCTGCAGGTGTGCTGCGGGAGGGCTGGGGTCCAGCAGCTGTGTGCTGTAGCCCTAGCTTCTGGCACGTGCTCATCTGCTGTGCTGGGCCTGCCTGGGAAGGGTGTGATGGCAAGCAGGACGATTGTGAGCCTGGAGGTCTTCTCTCTCCTGCTCCCTGACTGCCTAGCCGTCGTTGCTTGGGATATGAGGCCCAGGTTGCCAGTGTCTTCCTCCAAGGAGGAAGGCTGGCTTAGAGGTCTTCTGCTACCTTCCTCTCTAGAGTTCCTATCAGACAGAGATTGGGCAGACTCTCGACCTCATCACAGCACCCCAGGGCCATGTGGATCTAGGTAGATACACAGAAAAGAGGTGAGGGCCAGTGGCAGCCACGTCTGGATGGTGAGGGACTCAGCCTGGGCCCTGCCTTTGTAAATGTATCTTCTACCCTGACGCAGGTACAAATCTATTGTCAAGTACAAGACAGCTTTCTATTCTTTCTACCTGCCGGTCGCAGCCGCCATGTACATGGTAAGTCCATGTCACATTCATTGTGTTTTTTCTTGTGGACTCTGGGACAGGAAGGCAGAGTAGACAATCTTCTGTGTTTACTGTATGGCTGTCTGGCCTCACACCAAGCGCTCGGTCCCTCTGATACTGGAGAGTGAGCAGCGGTGAGGCCCGTAGGTGCTGCGTGTGAGTGGGAAGGCTGTAGCTGAAGACACTAGGTTCCCAGGCAGTTGGGTCCATCCTGACCCTAGTTTTCTTTTCACCTGTTAAGAAGTTGAGTTTACCAAAAGAAATGGGAAGTGAAACTGTGAGGCTGCAGTCGCTCAGGAGGGTGGCGGGATGGCCTCCCGGGCGGGTGTCCCAACTGATAAGGAGGCTGGAGGTTGGCCTGCCTTAGGCAAGGCCACGGGGATCAGGAAGGGCAAGGTGCTCTGGGCTGCCTCGCCTGTTTCCCTGCAGGCAGGCATTGATGGGGAGAAGGAGCACGCCAATGCCAGGAAGATCCTGCTGGAGATGGGCGAGTTCTTCCAGATCCAGGTAGGAGATCAGAGCAGCAGAGCCCCCTTCATCTTCCGCCGGCCTGGGGTTCTCTTCACCCTCCTTCTTCCTGCTGCCTAGGACGACTACCTCGATCTCTTTGGAGACCCCAGTGTGACTGGGAAGGTGGGCACTGACATCCAGGACAACAAGTGCAGCTGGCTGGTGGTGCAGTGTCTGCAGCGAGCCACTCCGCAGCAGCGCCAGATCTTAGAGGTGCCCAAGAGGGCTGGGGGCGAGGGGCTATGAGAGCACGGTGATTTTGCTGGCCAACCCAATACAATGTGGTTATGTGCTGAAGGCAGCCAGGGGAGGTCTGGACAATGGTAGACAACGTGGAACGCCCAGGGATCCCGGTAGTCATGGCCGAGAAGCCGTACAGTAGAGGAGGTGGAACCCTAAGCCAATACCTCAACATTGGGGTGGGGGCAGTGTTTGATATTTTGGATCCCCAGAGACAGGAGAGCTACAAGTGGTAGGTAGTCAGGAGACAGAGGCAGCCCTGCGTAATGAGGCCCTGACTAAAACAAAGTGGGGCGAATGGCGTTGCCAGTGTTCTGGAAGGTATGAGTGATTTGTGAGGTCCTTTGGACCCAGCTGAGTAGAGCTGTTCTGCTTTCAGGAGAATTATGGACAGAAGGACCCAGAGAAGGTGGCGCAGGTGAGAGCGCTGTATGAGGCGCTGGACCTGCAGGCTGTGTTCCTCAAGTACGAGGAAGAGAGTTATGGCCGTCTCCAGAGCCTCATTGAGCAGCACTCTGCGCCCCTGCCCCCTACCATCTTCCAGGAACTAGGAAAGAAGATCTACAAGCGGAAAAAGTGACCTCAGGGTTGCGGAGGCTGGGAGGGAGGGAGGGAATCTCAATAAATTTTTGTTCAACACCCTGTGGTTCTGTGCTTGCGCCAGTCAGGAGTTCAGCTTTGTACAGAATGGAGGGGTGGGGGAGGCAGCTTGGAGGCCAGGTTGGCACCAGCTTTCCAGGACCCAAAGCTGCAGCGGTTTGGATGGGTGACACAGGCACAGCGTCAAGGACTACGTGGGGTTTGGGGGCGGGCCTGGGCTATGCCACGCCCACGTGCGGTGGGGTGCGGCTGCGCAGCTACAGTGGGTTTCGCCGGCGCCCCTCCCCTCTGCTCTGTTCCCCGCTGGGCGGGGACGCAGACAAGCCCAAGGCCGGAGCGATTCCAGGAGGACTGCGGTGAGGAGGGCTCAATCTATGGGTGTGGATGGATGGATGGATGGATGGATGGATGGATGGATGGATGGATGG